CATTGGAGTATCTTCTCTCTATCCTTGATAATGGTGTGAATCGACCCTTGTGGAATGTCGAACTGACGACGAATCTCTGCCAGTGGAGCTTGCTTTTTGTCAACAGCCTGGAGTATTTCGTATTTTTTGCCAATTGCAAGACATTTGCTCTTGCGCTTGGCATCGGTGGTGACACATTACGCGTGCGTGTTGCTAGGTTTCGGGCTTGATCGAGGTCTGCTGCACACCGCAGCCCTATCTCGCTTCACACGCTGCCTGAGCTCGCAGTGGCATGGCTTGCATGGGCTTGCTCCATCACTGCGTCACTCTATCTCTCTCTCTCTCTCTTACTTTTTACACATTGTTAACGAGCCTTTGTCCCTGCTATAACCGGTTGGGCTCCGATTAGGCCCTGTTATAGCCGATAACTTTTAATAGAGACAAAGAGTAGAAAAAAACGGGGATTTTAAAAATCCCTGTTATTACCGGATCCCTGTTATTACCGGGCCTGTTATATATGGTTTCCGCTGAAAAAGCAAACTAAAACAGCAGAAAAAAACAACAGAAACTGACACAGAAAGAAGAAATATCGGTTGATCAATTTTGTCAAGACTGAAAGAAGGGAATTATCGAGAAAAAAAAAAGGCGGAAGACTAAATGATCATCGAAAGCTTATGTGATCAACAAAGAATATTAATATTACCTTAAAAAAATTAATGCGCACTTAACATTAACAACAGGAAAACCCAGTCCTCAACGTAAAAGAAACGAGAAAACAGATTTGGGCACGGCCCTATTACTATTTCCGGTCTATATCGCAGACCCACAGCCTTTCTTTACAACTGTGGGAAAAAAAGAGGTTTCTGGCAAGGGAACTAACCGTGAAAATTAAACATTTCGGAGTAGCGTACACAGTAGCCGCCCCGTTGCAGAATTTGTATTTGAGCTGTTCTTTAGTCTTTCATTTCACCTGTTAAGATTTGCCTGGACCGGTATTTATAGTGTAGTTATAAGGCGTTTTACCATCGCACACAGAAGACCAGAGTTTGATTCTAATATAAAAGAGTCTTTATTGAGTACCTCAGCCTTTTTGCTTGGATTTTCTTAGTTAGTTTTGTTTGTTTTAGAAGGAGTTTTACGGCGCTCTCAACTGCATGAGGTCACATGAGCGCGCTATGGGACTTTGTATCCTTCTCAGCCCTATTAACAGTTCTATATATTTACGGGGCAATGTCCTTACAACGGGAGGCACAAATTAAGTCCCGCGACGACCACTCACTACTGGCAAAAATCAGGACTGGTCACTTCTCTGTGCTGCGGGCCTACAAAAATAGAATAGACAAAACATCAGACCCAATGTGTCCTCCATTGTGCACCGAGTACCCCACGATTTAGAGCACAGGCTGCAGATATGCCCTGCAACGGAGGTTCAGGCGTTGGCATCCCTTTGGGGAGGATTCAGGGAGGTTGGACTGCCTCACACGCTTCTCGAGAAATGTGATTGTCCTGGCAAAAAGCACGCTCTTCTGGGCTCCAAACAATTCGAAAGGATAGGCACACACAACAACAACAGCAAATAAGCAAACAAACAAACAAATGGCAACAACTACAACAACATCAACAACAACAAACAAAAACACTATTTGTGAGGCAGCGTGGTGGAATCAGGCTCTCGTCAATTTTTGGGTATGTAGACTTATTGGTATTATCTTAAAGCTTGTTCACTTGTGTTTATTTGGATGAAAAAAATATCCATTTATCTTAATTACAAGTCAAGATATTTGCGGGTCTGTGGTAAATGAAAATTTCCATTTTTTTCTGTCTTTAATCAACGTTTTTCAGGAAAATCCACACAGAAATGAATTTTGTAATGGGCATGAAAGGTGTTGAGCCAAAAAAAACAAAAATTTGATAAAAATTTACAAACCAGCAGAAAAAAGTTTCTTCACTTTGATTATTTTCACGAGAGCCTGACTCCACCACGCTGCCTTACATTTCTACACAAAGTTTAGGGTCGGCAGAGAAGTGTTTTAAATTGCGGCCAAATAGCAAATCAATTACTCCAAACCTGCCCAACACATGAAGTGAATAGGAGGAAGAGTGTTAGCCCAACCCCGGGCAAGAAGACCGAAAACTCTTAGTTTTAGTAAGTGTTTTACAGCACTTGCAGCACAATAAGGTCATATAAGGGCCGAAGATTAGAGGTGTTACCAGGGAGTAACAAAAATAAAAAAGAAGGAGGATGTATATATTCAGGACGATAGATGTTTGATAGAAAAGAAGAAGCAAACCACACCAGAGCACCCGCCAACCACCCAGTGCTATCCAAAACTCTATGGAAGCCTGGAATTAGGAAGACCAGCGATAAACAGCAGCCTTTGCACTAGAGACTGGGATGTTTGTCTGGACAAGAAGAACAATAACAGAAACAAGAACAATGATAAGAACAAGAAAAAGAAGAACAAGGACAAGAAGAACAAGAAGAACCACAAGAAGAATAAGGACAAAAAACAGCCTAGAGATCTACTCACCTCATCAAGTGCAGCAGTATTTTTCCACAGCTTGGTCCCAGCATCCGGCTCCTCCTGACCTTGACCTTGACCTTTACCTTGATGTGCAACCTCGTTGTTCCCCAGAAACATCCTCCCGGCATTATTATTCTGCTTCCGGGCGGTGAGTAACCCTCCTCCCTTATCATGCTGCTGCCCCTGTTTCTGCTGCTGCTGCTGCTGTAAAATCTGCGGCTGCTGCAACAAAAGCTGCGGCTGTGGCTGATAGGAGAGATACTGATACCTCTGCTGTGGCTGATTCGGTAATGACTTGCTGGAGATGGAGGTTTTGGTGCTTTTCTCGCTAGAGTTAGATCCCTTTTTGCTGCTGTCTGCCCCGCCGGTCATGCCGGCGCCACTTCCGGTGTGTCTGCTGGCAAAGGGGAGGTTAATCCCGTGCAGGGGGTGGAGGGGACCGGATGTACCCGGCATGGTGGTCGGGCGTGACTCCTAGCTGGCTCTTCTGTTGAATCATTGAGGAAAAATATTTATCGAGAAGAAGAAGAAGAAGAAGAAGAAGAAGAAGAAGAAGAAGAAGAAGAAGAAGAAAAAGAAGAAGAAAAAGAAGAAGAAGAAGAAGAAGAAGAAGAAGAAGAAGAGGAAGAAGAAGAAGAAGAAGAGCAATGGTAATGATAATGATCATAATAATATTAACAATTGCAATGATTAAACGTACGATGTCCACACTCGGTGCGTTTCATAGTTAACTCTATTTGGACGCCCTGGTGTCATTTTGTAACCCTGGGTTTGTATTCTTCACATTTTAGAATACTTCTAGTTCGAAGATCCCTTTGAAATTTTCAGTATTTCTCCCAAAAACAAAAAATTTTGACAGACTGCTGTGAAAAGCGTACGGATCAGATTAACGAGTAAATTTCCTTATTGGAAAGTGGTGGCACAGAGTTCCCTACGTCGTATGGATACGATAGTAAAACACGACGTGCGGAAGGGGTTAATGCTACTCCAGCAGGCCCTAAAACACGCGGAAACAGCCTGGGCTTCCTGGGACGCACACAGTGCAAGTTGATGACCACATGCATCAAAACATTAACAAACTGACAAGATCCTTAGATGAATTTGTATCGCCAGATGCCCATTCCCCCATCTGAGTGGGGTGAGGAAAGTTCATTTAGTAAAATGTTGTAAAGTAAAAATTTTACGGCACAGAGGTCGCCTTTGGCTGAGATCAAAAGTGTAGTATATTCTGTTCTCTGACTTTTCTCGGCCTTGTGCCCACTCGGAAGCAGGACAGATGCGGCATGAAGATGATAGCTGATGAGGTCTTAACCAACCTCGATTATATCTAGTGTATGGTACCCTTCCTCTTTTTAAAAAAAACCTTCTGTTTTTGTGTCCACAGTTTTAGTTGCAGTTGTTGTTAACAAATCTTGAGATCAATCTTCCCACGGCATGTTTAAAAATAGCCAGTATAATTACGTGTTGCCCAAAATGGTAATAAGAACATGTTAATAAGGTATTTTCTCTGTTATTTTGGCAGGTCAACGAAGAACGTGAATTCCGGATTTGTTTTCATTCACAATTCTTTGGCACCACCTCGAATAAGAAGCTTTGTCAATTAATGTATTTTCATTGTTGGAAAGCTTTTTGTGTGTGGCCTTATCCGTATCTAGATCTAGTTCTTTGTCTCACTTTGATTACTTTGTCAAACAAGTCAACCGATGACCTCATTATTCTGGATTTTTAGCTTTCGCTATAAATATACCTCTATGCAACCCGTCGAGTCAATTTTTTAAAGAAATAATGTAGCCGTTTCTTTTCGTCCCCTCGACACAATCAGTAATTTAGATTATGAATTTTAGGAAGGCGGACTTGACCACGCCTTTTAAGGTTAACCCAAGCTGAGAAGGCTACTACGTCCCGAAAGACAGACCGACCACTCGATATATCTTACAAGTATGTCATGCTGACCACACTGGAATCGAACTCCGGTCATGATCTGCGTTGCGACAGCGAAGGGTCTAACCGCTACACAAGAGACGCCGGAATGCGTAACCAGTGGAGCCCATTACAGTGATTAATCTACAAGGTAGCCTATATTATGAAACATAATCCATACCGGAAAGGCTGGAGAATGCCTGCTAGATGAGTCCGGGTGCATACTACTTTGGACGTTATAGGGGGGTATACGTAAGTGAAAATACTTACCACACACTTATACCACATTCCTCAGTCCCATAACTCTCCGGGATTGTATATGATCCGGATGACTGAGTTTTTGTAAACAGTAACGGTCTATAATAATCCATCTATTCAAAAATAAAACGACATTTTTTTTAAATGTGAGGCAGCGTGGGGGAATCAGGCTCTCGTCAATTTTTGGCCATGTAGAGTTATTGGTATCATCTTAAAGCTTGTATTGTTGATTTGTCTTTATTTGAATTAAAAAGATATCCATTTATCTTGAAAACAAGTCGCGATATTTGCGAAAGAAGGAGGTGGGGGTCACCTATTTTCAGAGGTAAAATTAGTTAAAAAATGGCCGCCAAAGATTAGTTATTTCCTTAGCTTAAGAGTCCATGGTAACAGAAAATTTACATTTTTGTACCTTTAATCGACGTTTTTCAGAAAGATCCACACAGATATGAGTTCTTTAATGGGCATGAAGGGTGTTGAGCCAAAAAACAAAAGTTTGATAAAAATTCACAAACCGGCGGAAAAATGGAAGTTTTTACACTTTGATTATTTGGACGAGAGCCTGATTCCACCACGCTGCCTCACAATTATGTACTTTTGATTTCCGCTGAGTTGGAGTTGGAGATTTTGAAACTAAGATAAATTCCATTAACATTTTCCTGTATTTTCAAACCAGGGTTGTAGGTAGTAGGGAGGTATTTTATTCAATGTTTAAGTCCATTGGCCCACATCACATAGACATACACAAAACTTTACAAAAAAGCATTCAGTGAAACAGCATAAATTGAATTGTAGATGACGCTCATATAAGAAACTTTAAGTATGTTTTGTTTTGTTAAACAACGCTTTCATAAATAAATAGTGTATATAGGTTGTACATTTTATTATACCTTTTTTTCGGTACATGTTGTAAATTTATATCACTGGGTTAAGTTAGGAAGAGGGGGGGGGGGCGAATAATGTCTTTTAAATTGCAAAGCTTGACCAATAAAAAATGACGTTAATGAGAGCCACACCTCTCGCGCTCGGGTATTTATTTCATTATTATTGTTCAATGGTTTAAATAACTAAGATAATGCAATTACATATTCTGATGACAAATTATGTTCCACAGAAATAAAACAAAGAATTCGTATGTCTAAAGATCGTTTCAATAAAATGAGCCCAATCCTTAAAAAAAAAAAAAAGAAACATCTCAACGACTACCACAAAGAAAGTTGTAAAATACCTGGTCAACCCGTCTATATCGCTGCGAAAGCTGGACAATCACTATAAAGACAGTGGAATCAACATAGAGGCAACAAGAATGTGGTTTCCTAGGAGACTGCTGAGATCTTTTTTTAAAGGAGAAAAAACCAATTCTGGCGCAGAAGAGTTTACCGCACTTTCGAGCATTTGAAAGCTTCACTTCCACGATAAAACAATATTATGGTGGTGCCCAGCTTGCGGGCTTCTCTCTTGGCTTCACTCTGTTACTATTCAATCATTTAACAAATGAGTCTTTTATATGATGTGATGTGTGCCAATAGCCTTAAACGCTGAATAAACTTACTTACTAACTTACTCTGTTACTAGAGAGACAACAATTTCTGATCTGATTGTTAATGTTGTAACACCAGTAAAATGGCTGCTTGCACTGTATGCCAGAAAGTTGAGATTGTTACACAATGCATCAAGTCTGTTGGGGCAATAATATAGACTGTAAAGCGCAAAGAGCTTGTTGTTGAGCAGGAATTTACACAATGCTAGCTATTTATTATTTATTAATTAACAGTAAATGAACCAAAAAAATTTGGCTGGGTGTGTGTCTTGAAGAAACACTATCCTTCCAGATGATACCGGAATCAAACTCACAACCTTTTTGGTCAACTTCTGATACCTTACTTCTTAACCAGGATGCCCCTCAAACTAAACATTAAAGAAAGAAAGAAAGAAAAAAAGAAAGAAAGAAAGAAAGAAAGAAAGAAAGAAAGAAAGAAAGAAAGTGGTGAAACATTTCCAAACGCTTGCACAGAAGAGTGGTCAAGACTTGTCCACACGAAGGCCCAAGGAACAAAATGTACGAGAACGACGTTGTTTTGGTGTCACGACTCACGACCTTTGCATCACTGCTGGCTTGTTTAAGAGGCGAGACCCCTAACGTACCGTTCACTTCCTATAGGGCCCAGACATATTATGAGAATGTTCAAGTAAAGTATTTTTTCTAATTAATGACACAGCGCAGGACTGAGCTAAATCTCAAACCCTCAAACCCTCACCTACACGATCACGAGTCTGATAAAGTAACCACCAGACTACCGATGACACCTCTGTAATGTACGGGAAGTATTTTTAGAACTTCCAACTTCCAGCAACACTCTTTCAATATCATTGCTCTCTAGTGAAGATCACAACACGCATTGCCGCGTCTACAAAACCAAGACCCCATTTTCCGTTACAACACTGCTTCTAAATAATTAATTCAACATATTTACACCTCTTGAAACTCCTTCACAAACAGGTTACAACTTCTGTTCTGTCTCTCTTTTGTTCTGTGCTCAGAACTTCTCAGCTCAAGCCTACAACCATGTCACAAATTGTGATTAATTCTTCCACAAAAATTCTACACAATGGGCTTCTGGAGTCTAGTGGTATAGGCTCTCAGACTCTCAGCTGTAAGATCAACGGTTCGAATACCGTCTGGTGCCCGACGTTGTGTCCTTGGGGGAAAGCACTTTATATGAATTCTCCTCACTTCAACCAAGTGAGAATGGGTACCCAGCTAAAGACAGCGAAAGCTCTTGTCGATTTAATTTTTCTTCTTTTTTTTTTTTTTTTTTTTTTTTGGGGGGGGGGGGGGGGGGGGTTATGCATGCCAACCGCAACTTGCATTGTATTTATCCCGGGGGAACGAGAAATTATCTGAGAGTGCTAGGGTCTGCTAATTTATTGATTGGTGTAAAGTGCATAAACATGCTGTAGAGCATAAATATTCGCTATATAACCGCAATTATTATGATTAAACTACAATACACCCCGCTCCCTTTCCACACACACACACACACACACACACACACACACACACACACACACACACACACACACACACACACAAACACACACACACACACACACATGTACGCACACGCACATACAAGCACCATTAAGAGTAGACTTGACAACCGCCAAGAAAATAGTAAGTGTACCTATTGAACCTATATTTCCCTGAACATAAGGATCATCTTTATGGGTTGTATAACAACATAAACTAGTAATGATAATAATACAGGTGACGATAA